GTGTGTGTGTGTGTGTGTGTGTGTGTGTATATATATATATATAAAATCAAAGCTAAGAGATTAACATTGGCATAATACCAGTAGCTAAACTAGACTTTAGATTTCCCAGCTTTTCTACAAATGGCCCTTTGCATTCCAAGATCCAATCCAGGGTGGCTTGTTGCATTTATTTCATTGTATCTTCTCCTTGGTCTTCTTCAATCTATGACAGTAAACTTTCAGTTTTTCCTTTTATACATTTATTTTTTCCAATAATGTGCTATTTGAACATTTTTTTAAATATCAAAAAATGTAAATGTCCTTAATGCTTCACTTGACTCAGTGTCCACCTCCAGGTTATCTACCCAAGTGCCAGTCACACAAACCCAGCACCTGTGTAGCCCCTACAGACACTTGTATGATGAGTCTTCTATTGACTCACACAGCCAGGCATGGTGGCACACACCTATAATCTATGTGACTTACGAGGCTAAGGTAGGAGGATCACAAGTTACAGGCCAGCCTTAGCAACTTAGCAAGGTCCTATCTCAAAATTTAAAAAAGGGCTGCAGATGTATTTCAGTGGTAAAGGACCCTGGGCTCAATCCCCACATCTGCTTCCCCTCAGACCACTAAATTATTTCAATGGTAAGATGTTCTTTGCCAGATTATGTCACCAGAGTGTTACTAGGGAGCAAAAATACAATGAAGTGATTTACCTACAATGTAGAAATAGAAAAAATTTTTTCAAGCTTAAGCAAGGATTTGTTTAGCATCTCTTTTCAGCCCTGTGTTTGTGCTCTTGTTGTGTAGCTAAACCAAGTTAAATTTAAGCTAGAGGCTGTAAGAAACAAGGTTAGTTATTTGATTTAAGAGGCAGTGTCTGTCTGTTGCCCAGAAAACATAGGGTTACCTGGCCTTGTAAACAGGTCATGCTGATTTTCTTTTGTTCTATTGTTCCACGTTTCTCTTTACAGATCATTTTTGCTGATGAGTGCACAGAAGCAGAGGGTCGCCATTGGCACATGAAGCACTTCTGCTGCCTAGAGTGTGAAACGATCCTGGGAGGACAGAGGTACATCATGAAGGATGGCCGCCCCTTCTGCTGTGGCTGTTTTGAGTCTCTCTATGCAGAGTACTGTGAAACCTGCGGGGAACATATTGGTAAGTCTGCAGCCCAGCCTTCTGCCCTGTCACGTAGCCATTGGTCATTTACAATTATCCACAGCCTTGTTTATCCATGTATTTTGTTTTTTAAATTAAGGTACAATTTACATGTAGCTAAACATACAGATCTTAAATGTATTAGTTTGCTGAACTTTGACAAATGGATATGTAGTAAATTCTCATTAATCACAGTTGTGAACATTAAATTAGTGCATATTGAACCATTGCTCCTCAGAGAAATATAGGGTTAAGGTTCCTGTGAACCTCCGATCATGACACCTGCCTGGTGCTGGGGATCAAGCCCAAGGCCTCCCATTGCTAGGCAAGTGCTCTACCACTCAACTACACCCCCAGCCACATTTTCATTAACCTATCGATACAGAACCTCATTTCATGTGCACTTTAGGTTAAAGCCACTTTGAATATACACTGGTAGTGGATTAACCTCAGACTCACAGCCAGTAGCATTGTCACTCATGGTTAGATGCTTATCCAATACATGTGTTTTCTCTGTAAAGTATATGGAAAGGCATATCACAGTCTTGCACCTGGGAGCATAGACAGCATTTCAGCATTATAGTTAGAGGCCGTTTTAAACAGCAAAATTATGGCATTAAATAGACCATGAGTAGAACACTTTTTTATAGTATGGAAACTGCAACCAACCACAGAGCATCCTTTTGTTTGAGCTCAGCTAGGAGTGTGCATGTTGGTCAACTTAAATTTACTCCATTTTGCATACCTATGAGAGACCATGAAGGTGTGATGGGTATCAATTCTGGATGTACAGAAAATTTTTAGTGAGTAAGGAAATTCACCAATACAGAATCTACAAACAATATTAATTTTGCCTTAACCCACACCCCTTTCAAGACCAAGATACAGAATATTTCCATCACCTGAGATGCTTTCTCTTGGCTGCCATTTCTTCTGTTTCTTCCTTCTTCCTTTGTTCCAAGCATTAATTTTCCTATCCTTTCTCAAAACAGGTGTTGACCATGCGCAGATGACCTATGACGGGCAGCACTGGCATGCCACAGAAGCATGCTTTTCCTGTGCCCAGTGTAAGGCCTCTCTGTTGGGATGTCCCTTCCTTCCCAAACAAGGTCAGATTTATTGTTCAAAAACCTGCAGCCTCGGTGAAGACGTCCATGCTTCTGATTCTTCTGACTCTGCGTTCCAATCAGCCCGATCGAGAGACTCCAGAAGAAGTGTCCGAATGGGTAAAAGCAGTCGATCAGCGGATCAGTGCAGACAGTCTCTCCTCTTGTCCCCTGCTCTGAACTACAAGTTCCCTGGTCTTTCCGGCAATGCTGATGATACCCTTTCCCGGAAGCTAGATGATCTGAGTCTCTCCAGGCAAGGAGCAAATTTTGCCAATGAAGAATTTTGGAAAGGGAGAGTAGAGCACGAAACCCCTGAAGACCCTGAAGAATGGGCTGAGCATGAAGATTACATGACACAGCTCCTCCTCAAGTTTGGTGATAAAAGCCTCTTTCAGCAGCAACCCAGTGAGATGGATATTAGAGCCAGTGAGCACTGGATATCTGATAACATGGTGAAAAACAAGACCGAGTTAAAGCAAAATCATCAGAGTCTTGCCAGTAAAAAATACCAGTCTGATATGTATTGGGCCCAGTCACAAGATGGACTGGGCGATTCTGCTTATGGTAGCCACCCAGGCCCTGCAAGCAGTAGGAGGCTCCAGGAACTGGACCTGGACCACGGTGCTTCAGGATATAATCATGACCAAACGCAGTGGTATGAAGATTCCCTGGAGTGTTTGTCAGACTTGAAACCAGAGCAAAGTGTTCGGGATTCTATGGATTCTTTGGCTTTGTCTAATATCACAGGTACGCATAGGGATTGTGGGCTATTTGAAAAAGTGGCCACTAAGATGTTTATTCAAAAACATTGCTGATCAGCACCAATAGGGGATATATTATTTAACACTCTGGACAAGCTGGATACAGTGGTATACACCTCTAATCCCAGTGACTTGGGAGGCTAAGGCACGAGTATTGCAAGTTTGAGGCCAGTCTAAGCAATTTGACAAGATCCTGTATCAAAAGACAAAAGGGGGGCTGGGGATATAGCTAGTGGTAAAGCTGAGTTCAATTCTCAATACAAAAAATTAAAAAAATAAAACAAAAACACCTTTAACCCAGAGGAAGGAAGGCATTTCATTTAAATGTTGAACACTATATAGCCAAACAAGTATGTGTCTGTACGGGTAAGTGGGCATGTATAAAATATTTTTTTAACCCTGTCTTTTGAGATAGGTATTACCTGTTTTAAGGAGGAGAAAACTGGTTTATTTGAATAAGGGAGTCTACAACTGGATTGTGTCCAAGAGATTCTATACTATTAGATTGTGCTATATGAATTTCAAAATATTAAAATCAGCCTGTGCACTTCATAAGCTTGTAATAGTCTTAAACATTTTTCCTGAATTGCCCTGTGGCAAGAGATAGCTCAGAACGATCTGAGCATTCTTTTTCCTCATTTAAAATATTACCTTACTATTTTCAAAGCAAATTCATATTATCCACATTTTATCCTTAAAATAATCCTGAGTTGTACAGAGTGGATATTACTCCATTTTGCACAATAGGAAATTTAAATTAACAGAATGCTAAATGTCTAGTATTACATAGGTTCTAAAGGCAAGATTGGACCTAGGATCCAGCACATTGTCAACCTCATATTTGCAGCAAGTTTTTGGACACAGAAATATGGTCCTTGTGCAGCAAATTTTATAGGTTAATGATACACAGTCATTTCATAAAGGTGGTTTATTGCAAAACAACCAGGAAAGGCTCCAGTGGCTGCCCACTGCCAGAATGACCTGAGCCAGGCAGTGCAGTGACATGGACGATGAGAGGAAGCTACTCTCTGGCTTCTGTGGACTGCTCAGGGATGAGGCCTACAATAAAGGGGAGGGAAGAATGGTGGGTGAGACTGTCTGCCAGGCCCTGTGCTAAGTGTTTTGACATTTTAAATCAAAATCAGACTAATTTGATTCAATGTGAAGTGTTAGGAGCTGGGGGTGTTGCTCAGTAGTAGAGCATGTGCTTAGCATGTGCGAGGCCCTGGGTTTCATCCCCAGCAACTCAAAAATAAAATTAAACATGTTAGGGGCAAGCTGGGCATGGTGGCACAACCTGTAATCTCAATAATGTGGGAGACTGAGGCAGGAGGATTCTAAGTTTGAGGCCAGCCTAGGCAACTGGCAAGACCTGCTCAAAAGAAAAAAAAAAAAAAAAATTAGAGGCTGACATTCCTTGACAACAGACTGAAAAACAGGCTTCCTTTAAATAGTAGGGAGTTACATAGTCTCCAACTGACAACAGTCCACACCACTCCCTATTGTTAGTTAGTCTTGGTCCTGTTACAACAAAGGACATCCATCTCAATTGTGAGAAGTTTTTCTTTCTTCTTCTTTGTTTTTTAGCAGGGGGTGGGGTGGGGTGGGGAGGTGGGTGCCAGGGATTGAACTCGGGGACACTTGACCACTTAGCCACATCCCCAACCCTATATTATATTTTTATTTAGAGACAGGGTCTCACCGAGTTGCTTAGTGCCTTGCTTTTGCTGAGGCTGGCTTTGAACTCACAATCCTCCTGCCTCAGCCTCCTGAGCTGCTGGGATTATAGGCATGCACCACCACGCCCAGCAGAAGTTTTAAAGTAAGATGGGGTTGGAAACAACACCTTTTGTGGTTCAGAGGTAGAGAAGATTGGCTAAAAGTTGAGATCAGGGGTTGGACAGACCTTCTGTAATAGTCTAGGTAGTCTTTTTAGGCCAACCAAAGATAATATGTAAACAATCGGCATGCTATGTTCCAGTGAAAATATACACAAACAGGCTGTTGGGCTGTCATTTTCCAAACACCAGTCTAAAATGAGGAAGATTCCCATGATGGTGGCCATGTGGTTGCAAAGGAAGGAAATGATTTGAGAGATGTTCAAATAAGACAATTTGGCTTTAATGGATTGAGGAACAGAAGCTTCCACAGCTTATGTTAAAAAACAAATGAAGAGCTGTTAAATTTTTGCTGCTTGTGCCATGTGCTAAAATAACGTTTGGCTCAAAACAGCAGAGCTCATAAGCGAGGTTGTTGCCCCTTGTATCATTAACAATATTTAGATTCTTTTCAATTGATAAATAATACATATTGGTTTTCCGTAGTAGGATTGTTTATTTGCAGTGCTGGGGTCAAACCCAGGACCTCAGACCTGCTAGGCAAGCTGAGCTACAATCCCCATCCCCTTCCTAGTGGGTTTTAATCAAATATTGCAATTGTAAATCTTTGAAATGTTTGATTTCAATAGTGTATTTCTAATAATTATCAGAATATTTTGAGAATCATATATTGTTTTGGCTCCTCTTCTAGGGGCTTCAGTGGATGGAGAAAGCAAGCCTAGGCCATCACTATATTCTCTACAAAACTTCGAGGAGATGGAGGCAGAAGACTGTGAGAAAATGAGCAATATGGGAACTCTGAACTCTTCCATGCTACATAGGAGTGCAGAGTCCTTAAAAAGTCTGAGTTCAGAGTTGTGTCCAGAAAAAATCATGCCTGAAGAGAAGCCAGTACATCTGCCAGTGCTCAGAAGATCCAAGTCTCAATCCAGACCACAGCAGGTCAAGTTTTCGGATGATGTCATCGACAATGGAAGCTATGACAACATTGAAATCCGGCAGCCTCCAATGAGTGAGAGGACTCGGAGGCGGGTTTACCATTTTGAAGAGAGGGGATCTAGGTCCCACCACCATCGCCGCAGGAGAAGTAGAAAATCCCGCTCTGATAATGCCCTGAATCTTGTCACAGAAAGAAAATATTCTCCCAAAGACAGACTGCGGCTTTACACTCCTGATAATTATGAGAAATTTATACAGAATAAAAGTGCCCGGGAGATCCAAGCATACATCCAGAATGCTGATCTCTATGGACAGTATGCCCATGCCACATCTGATTACGCACTGCAGAACCCAGGAATGAACAGGTTTCTGGGGCTCTATGGTGAAGATGATGATTCCTGGTGTTCCTCCTCCACTTCCTCCTCCGACTCAGAAGAAGAAGGGTATTTTCTTGGACAACCAATTCCTCAACCCCGGCCACAGAGATTTGCCTACTACACAGATGATCTTTCTAGTCCAACTTCTGCACTTCCTACACCTCAGTTTGGTCAGAGGACAACTAAATCCAAGAAGAAAAAGGGACACAAGGGCAAAAATTGTATCATTTCTTAACTGAGTAGCTGTGGAGATCAGTTGTTTAAAACTTAGCCATTAACCTTTGGAATCTTATCTTTTTTCTTCCATAGGAAAGTTGCTAAAATAGTTTAAAGTGCTTTCTTCTCCCATGTAAATGAGAACCCTACTGCTGTTTACAGTGTCAGATTAACAGTTGAAAGGTGTGATTGCTCCAGTTTACCCTCCTTGGATGGTGCCAGGTTAACGTGACATGTGACATCGGTGCCTGTGGCAGGTGCATTACAGTTTCAAATAGCTGCTTTGGTCTCCAATCCACAAAAGAATACTCAAACTCTCGAGAGGTGACTGGACCGGGGTGTCCATTTAGAAGATGGAGAACTCCAGCCACCTTTGTAAAGCAATAGTGTTTGTCTTTATGTACATCAGGTTGGCTCAGGTCCTGACCAGTCTGTCTTGTTGTGAGGCATGCACTTGTCACAGTGACCTAGCTAATACTGTGCATCCTATTGTGTGAGGCCAACTTGTCCCCTTTCAGCCCTTATTAGCCAGGTAAACATTGTATTGTATTAGCTCCAGCTCCAGATTGAAAAAGAAAATTGCTATTTATAATGTAGTATTTCATAGACGTAAGTGTATTCCTAATTTAACGGTGCAAATATTAATGTATATACTGTACAGTTCAGATTTTAAAGCTGATATTTTTATATCCCTGAATTGCAAGATGTTTGTTACACTGCAGTGCTAGATTTATTAGAGAACCAGAAATAGCATTTATGGATGAAATGATTGCTTGTATTTTAGTCAGGGTTTATAAGTTTTAGATGGTTAAATTTTTATTGCCTAGTGATGGAAAGTTTAATTTTTTTGATTTTCAATATTAAAAAGGCTCTGTATGCATGGTGGGGCTATGTAAATACTCTTTAAAACTATGGCCCTATTAATCTTACGAGTGTTATTTATGGGTCAAGCAATGTAAACTGTATAAATGTATAAACAAACAAAAACCCACATATACACCTGGAATATATGGTAAAAACAAGTAGATGCTGTCTGGGTGAATGTTTTTCCCTGGGGGTCAGGTAGGGTGTCTTTCCCATTCTTGGCAAGGTGATGATTATCTCATGAGAAGAGTCTAGAACTACAAGGATCTGCTTTTCCTGGAAGAGGTCTTTGTAGATTTGTTATTTGAAGAGAGGTGACTCCTTTTTTTCTTCCCCTCCAGCTAACTTGTTGGCCTTTGAAAGCAATTTTGAAAACTGGGACTTCTAGTTATTTTTCTTTTAAAATCTTTAGAGGATGCTGTGACACTGAGTACTTCAAGTTCATATGAGGTTCTAGTTCAAGGAAAAATTATGTTGGGTTTGAACTAATGAGCAGATATTTTGATATGTGCCATTCTTGCATATATATCTCAGTCTAATTAAAGGTCTTGGTGGCATCTGGGGTCTTTTAGGGAGGTATTTAATAAATGCTTAATAAATAACAAACTACCTTTCTGAATACAAGTCTTTATAAACATCCAGTTAACTTCTTTGGTCCTGTGTTCCAATTTGTCTTATTCTGCAGTCCTTCTACCATAAATAGACCTCCATTTTACTTATGCATGTCCACATGTCCTCATTAGCAGGTAGGAGATAAGACTTGGGACACCAAAACATATGCTTCCATATTTATCAGAGCAGGGAAAAGCTATGAGGCCTTGAAGAGGCCAGATACAATCCAATAGGTAAACCAGTGGGCAAACAGCCTCCCTGTCTCCTCGCTGGATAGGGCAAGGCTTTGTATCTAGGCCTTAAAGACTTCAAACAGGACAAAAGATAATGAAGCTTCTTCCCATTCCTCATCCCAAGTAACCACTATTACCCAGTTCTAGTGGATCCCTTCAATGTTCAAAGCACATTTATGTGTCTCTCTTTAAAATGGTAGTTGGGGATAGGAGTGTATCTAGTGGGAGAACACATGCATAGCATGTGCCAGGCCCTGTGTTCAAAGTAACAAACCATACACAACTGACTTGCTTTTTGTTTTGTAGTACATACAGGTCTACCTCATTCTTTCAGTGGCTGCTGAATATTCTAACTTTAGATATGCCATTATTTAACCTGTCCTTTGGTGAGGTACTTGAATTGCCTCAAACCTACCTTACCCTGCAGTGGCATATGTGTGCACATAACTTGGGAGTGGCATAATGACCAGGATGGAGGTTATGTATATTTAAAACTTTGATAGATACTGCCAATTTTCCTCTAAAAGAAACTGCTGATTTACACTTACATAATGTATTATCTGATCACAACCTCACATAATATATTAGCATAATTCTTGGTTTTGAAGAAATTTTTAGAACCTGTACTGTAGCAAGCATCCTTTTAGGAAACCCTTATGCAATATGTTACATTCAGCTGATGATGTGTAGCCTGAAGACATGCAGGTATGAGCTGAAGGTGCCGCCCTCAGTAGTTTTCAAGTTCATTCTTAACAGATTAGTTACTTTTGTTAAATCTGTCAACAGTCACCCTAGTCATTCTTTTCATTTCCTCATTGTAAGGGTTATATAGATTTCCAAGGGTTTTAGGAAATAAATATTTATTCACAATGATAATGTAACTTTCATATTTTTAAATCCCTATTAGTAAAGCAGAAGACCATCTACAAAGGCAGAAAGGAAAGTAACTGCCTTACAATTCTGTAAAAAAAGTATAGCATGTAGTTGCTAAAAGGTGTGAGTAGATCAAGTTAACCGGAACTTAAAAGTATCTTGGTCAGTCACTGAATTCCGAAACTTGATCCAAGACAAATATTGAGTGTTAAAATTCTGCCTGTGATCACACATGGGGAATCAGAACCCCAAGGGTTGCATTTTCCTCACTTCAGAGCAGTTACTGCAGAACACCACTGCCGGTCCTGGAAAGACACAAAGTCCATAGGAACTCCTTTCTACTCTCATTAAAAGAAAATGATTCCTTATAGGTAAGCACATGCTATTCTCCGCACTCTGCTCTTTAGTCCCTGAGTTCAATCAAAAGTGCCAGAAGTGAAAGGAGAAGTCATTTGCTACCCAATCCTCTTGCTTTGGCTACCAAGCATGGACGTTAAAATGATGATGAAATTAGAATGCGTACCCAAGACTGCTAGATCTCCAGTGGACTCTTGACAACCACTGGAAAGAACCAGTGTTGCTAGACCATCCACTTTTTCAAGAGAAGCCAGGAATCTGAAGTTTTGTGAACTCTCCCAGCTTTTACATGCTAACAACCAATTCAAACATTTTTGAAACACTGCTGAACAGAATGAGCATGGCATCGCAGTTTCTAACCTCTGGGTCATAAATTCAGGGGTCAAAAGCAGACTCCTCTATGCTTAGAGCTGTCTAGGAAGGCAAAACTACTAATAACTGTTTATAGAAATACATGTGTCCCTTTTTTAGATACACAAAGAAGAAAAATTATTGGGATCTTTAAAAACACCTTAAGAGCTTCATTATCGATTCAATGCTAGTGAAACAATTATGATAAATTCTTTTTAATGAGAAGATCACTAATTGCCTAGATTATCTAGTCATTCACTGGAATGCTGTATAGAGGTGTGCAGAAAACATAGTTTTGGGTTTTTTGGGGTTTTTTGTAAACTCTAAACATATTAGAAAGGCTTCTAGGCAAACTGTACCAAGGAGCAGGAATAACTGAATTTTGCAACTGGAAGAATAAAATGGAAGCTTTTCAGAATGTGGAAGAAAAATAGGATACTGGGTATATTGTATAGATTTAGTCACAGGATTAGAAACAACTTACTCTGTTTGAACAGATCCATCTAGCTGGCCAAGTATAACTTTCAGGGATCAATTTTAGCCATAATATTTCTTTTTGAAAGAAAATTTTGCACCTCTGTTGCTGTACATTTACATACGTATGCTGTTATGCCATGTCAACTTTTGAAGTAACTTGCAACCCACTCCCTGAATGCATTTTATTCCAAAGTGGACAGTACCATTAAGAATAAAAATTAGTAGCCTTAATACTAGTGATTTCAGCATTTTTAGGTAACTGAATCAAGCAAGTGATGTTGCTTGATGGCTACTAATCTAAATCCACTCACCACAAAACTGATCTTGCAGAGTGATGCAAAACACTGAACTGCAGGAGTCAGGAGAGATGAGTTAGGAAACCTACCTCTCATTAAGGTTCTGACGGTGTTCATACTGTAATATGAGAGTGGTAGACCAACTCAAAGGTTTCTTTCCAGCTTTAGACTTCTGTGGAGATTAAATTTATTATATTATTGGTCTGAAGAGTCTTCTCAGTATAATGTGTTTTTCCTTTTCTGACTCTTCATTTACCAACATGTTTGTCTGATAAGGATCCCTGAAAGAATGATCCCCACTCCTTCCTCTATCACCAAGACCATGGCTTAAGGGAGCTGGGAGGTTTAAGAGGGTTGGTGTGTGTGTAATTAATACTTGAGATTCTGAGTAAGAGGATAATCTAAATAATGAAATAGAAATTCAGGCATGGGGACTGGGGCTGTAGTCAGTAGCAGAGTGCTTGCCTAGCATGTGTGAGGCACTGTTCAATCCTCAGCACCACATAAAAATAAAAACAAATAAAAGAAAAAAAATTCAGGCATGGTTATCTCCCTTTCAGTGCATATGCTTAAGGTTGGCCTTATCTCTATTAAGTAGACAGTTTGGAAGCTGGATAGAGTATGAGAATAAAGTAATTTTCTCCACGTCATTCTCTCCAATTACCAGGAGAAAAAGAAAGAAAGAGGGCTGCTTTTGGCAACAGTTAGTCTTGAATCTCTGAACATGGAAGCAAAGATCAAAAGGTGTTAACCATATTAAATGAATCCTGAATCCTACACATTTAATTACCAGGTTTATTCCACTGAAATGAATTCTCAAACTTCACCATGAGTCCTGATGCAGCACTTACAGATTGTGGGTCCTGGGCTGTTTGGGGCTGCATGCCCAAATGTGTTTCCTGAAGTAGCTCCAAAGTCATAAGAACCAATATGGAAGTTAGTAGCGAGTGAGGATAAAGTGAAAAACCAGTAGAATCTACTGAACTAGGACTTTGTTTTTTGTAAAGTTATTAGTTTTATACATAGCCCATTATAATTATATTACACATGAACTTCACATATCTCAAATAGCTAGTCTGTGCTGAAGGCAAGATTTGAACCTAACTCTGAACGACCACTAAGCTTTTTCTCCTTTAAAAACACTAAACTTAGACTGGAAACTCTACGTAAGACACTGGCCACTCGCTATATAGACCTGGGAGGTCATAACTTCTGTAGTCCTTAAGACCAAAATCCTCATTGGTCCTGAGTTTGATCCCCAGCATTGGGGGAGAAAAATCTTAATTGGTAAAGAATTCCATATGAACGTACTTTGTTAGTTACAAAACACCAGAATGGTGATTCTAACCTTGTTCAGATAGTGCAATAAGAAAAATATGATGCTTCTCAGAATTCTATAAAATAGTATATTAAACCTAAAATAAATGCATTTTAAGCAACATCCAATATGGCATGCTATATTTTACTCTACAGAAGTAACAGCAAGTTTTCTTTTAATTAATGGGTAAAAAAAACCCTTTAAAAACCTAAGACCATTTTAGTGATAATAATCTAGCATTAGAACACCATCAATCCAGGAAAAGAGTTCAAAAAACAGTATGATATAGAAACAGGCTGTTCCTCCTGTTATATAAATGTACACTAGATTGTAACAATCATATGTCACTTGTCATTTAAATACAGCTTGAAACTGAGAACTCTGGATTGGCAAAGCCTTTTATACAATCAATCAGCTCTCATTACCCCAAGATCAATCAGTACAACAAAAATGCAGCCTGCTCAGGGCCAACTTCAGTCAAACTAACTTTTGGATGTAATTTGACAAAAATGAGCAGTGAGTCTGAGTAAAACATGAGCTGTTTTAATAGGAAACCAAATAATAATGTGTCTTAAAGAATAAAAATGTTTATTCTGCTCTCATTAACAGTTCAGTACTCCATGTAGTCATGGAGTGATCCAGGTTCCTTCCATATTATGGATCCACAAAGGAAAAAAAAAAAAAAAGAACAATGTTACATTACGTTGCTACCTCTCTTGGGAAGGGATAAAAGAGTACCTCTAATGTCTAAGAGTCACAGTCTAGAGCAGTACTCCCCTTTCAAATTCCACAAGACAGAACTTACTTCATACACCTAACTACGATGAGGACATGGCAAATCCAGTCATTTGGCAGTTATATGATTCAGTATTAACTCTATTACAATGGAGAATGGGCAAACAGATGTTGGTAACTACCTTAATTACTGGTACACGCCCATTCCCATTTCTTGTTCACCTGATTGGATAACACAAGTGGTCTGAGAGTTGGAAGGAAGGACATGAAAAATCTGCACCTTGGTCTGGCGAGCAAAATGTGGGCATTACTCCCAGAGCACCACACAACAGCCCAAGCAGTTAAAGCTGAAAAGCCAACTGGCTGCCTGCAACATAGAATGCTGCCCACTATTATCCTTTAGAGACAATCATCATTCCCCCAAAATTATAGCCAAAAAACTGTCAGAGCCTACCTTGGAGTTTAGAATCGGTTACAGCAAACTCTGGAGTGAAGCTGAAATCAGAATCTATTTGGCAGAGTGTAGCAGAGTCCTTCCTAAGGGGATCTGGTCTTCCCTTCCTTCCAGAGGTTCTGTATCTGTAAACTGGCTCAGGGCTGGGAGGTGATTGAGGGCTATGAGAAATTAACATTTTTGGCAAGAATACTACATATATATATAATGTTTTCAAATTTCACTCAACTACAAGAGGTAAAACTATAAAATGTTCAAAATCCCTCAATTCTGCTCTCAATCTACCTTTTCCCAAAGAAGGGGAGAAAATATAATCATTCATTCCTTAACTCTCTGCAGTCTATAGTTGAGACAGATCCCTAAAACAGAAGACAGATTAACAAAAGAACAAGCAAGTTTATTAACACCTACAAAGCACAACACGAGAGAGAAAAGCAACTCAAAGCAGTTGTTTAGGAATCTGCCTTAAATAGTATTTTTTGTTTTATATTTTGGTACTGGGGACTTACTCCAAGTGTGCTTTACACTGACTTATATCCCCAGCCATTTATATTTTTTTCAGAGGGTCTCAATAAATCGCTGAGGTTGTCCTCAAACCTAAAATCCTCCTGATACAACCTGTGAGTCACTGAGATTACAAGTGTGCACCACATCTGGCCTAAACAGTTAATTTTAACAAAGAAAAATGAAGTTCAGATACATGACAATGGAAAAGTGGCCCCAGGCTTTAGAGGTGGGAAAACTGTGGGAAGATAAATCTATTGAGATTTAGAAAGTCAGCTTAAGAGGGTCATCTCTGAACTGAGAAAAAAAGTTCTGCGTGAGTAATTTACATTCGGGAAGGGAAAGGAGAGAGAGAGAGAGAGAGAGAGAGAGAGAGAGAGAGAGAGAGAGAGAGTGTGAGTGTATGTGTAGTGGGTGGGTGTGGGTATAGACTTTTATTCTTTGTGAATCTCTGTCCTGCTTTTAGGCAAACTGAGAAATGGCAGAGTTTCTCTGCATTTTGATTGTCTTCAACTCAAGAATCCTTTATATTTTGGAGAAAAAATATCTTGGTTTCCTTCACCATCTTTATCACCCATCATCTTCAAAGAATTTTAGTCACATAGGCTGATACCATTCCCTCCTGTATTTTGCTACTTCTCCTTTTCTAAGTCTTATTCTTACAACATCCAGGGTCACACGTTACTTCCTTTGTGAAGGCACCTTTAATTTGACAAACATGAGTACCTATAGCATTTCAAACTGTGCTAAGAACCAGAGTCACATGACAACATGGTCCCTGTCCTCCATGAATTATTATACTGATGTAGGGTTTTATTCCTACTGTACTTGGAAATTCAGGCTCACAATGACAATTGTTAAATACTATTATGCTCAACAACTACTGTTTTCAGATATCAAAAGTCCATTTACCACCAAATTTAACTTCCTCTATCCTGCTGCTGAGTAGGTGAACCGAATAATTAGAAATAGTTTTTTAGCAGAGAGTAATAAAGTTTACATCTTAGCAGAGCAGTTTAAGCCTGATAAAATAAGAGAAAAGACAATCTAATTATTTAAACTTGGTTTCTTTATTTTTTACTTTTAAAATTCACAAAAAGCTTTACAATATCTGCTTTCCCCATGTTGATCATCAAGGCTTTATGGTAAGACAATGAAAATTTTATCACATCAGTTATGTATACTCAAAAACAATGGATAATTTACAAACACATCTCTTTAATCAAGAACATTTTACAAAATACATACTCTGGTACACATCTGAGTTTATCCCATAATTGGACTTTAAAAGGCATTTAAAAAAAGAAAAGAAAAATCCCCAACAAATTTAACACTGACAAGCCTAGCAGAATAATGCTGATAGCAAGCTATAAAGAGCTTTAAATATCAAATGTACTTTGAGGGAAGGGAAAAGGAAGAAATTACCTGTTGAACCTACATTGAAATGCATCTGTTAGTAAGACTTTTCCTTTTAATGAATTTCAACAACTCCTTTGCCTCTGGCAGTTTCTCAGGTTTTATTTTCAAACTTGTGACATCTTAAAGAAACAGAATCCTTGGACTAGAATATTTAAGGAAAAGGAAAACACTGGGGACAGGAGGATATGACATCAGTACTTTCTTCATCTTTCTATGGTAAGTAATAAATCACTATTCACACTAAGGAAGAATATCAGAGATAATAAGTGGAATTTCATTTGGCTTATGTTTTATAAAAGTTAGCTAAGTATAACATCTCAATGGTAAAAATAAAAATTCAAGATAGTCTCCCTTAGGAAACTTAAAAAAAATAAATGTTGCCCTCAATTAGTTTTTAAATTTGTGGAATGGCATAATACATATTTGGAGACACTCATGATAGAATCCATTAAAATTATTTATACTGCTATTTCCTCTTTTAATATAGTCTTGATATACTCTGGGGGAGCTCTTTAGATAGCATATGCACTAAAAATAATGCCAGAACTGAAGTGAGAATAGAGTGGAAATGGAAAGAGGATGGGAGGATAATGAAATGGTTAGTAATAACAAACATGATTTTTAAGGTTTCCTCACTAATGTCACAAAATTATATATTTTGGCTCAATGGCACCACGCTGCTAGAAGTGACCAGGAAATAAGTGGAATATTCTAATGGTCCCAGTTAGGTCTTTAGCTAACTCGTGATTTGGATCGCTCACTGATGAAGGACTGTTGACACAGTCTGGTTGGTAGAAGGTGGCTGTGGGGACTGACTGCCTGTTTTGCTCTGTTTCTTTGAAGGGCTAGGAATCTCTAAAAGTCGGCAGAAAAAGAACTCCTCAGATTACACAGATTAACAAAAGAATAATTCTGTAAATGGCTTAATCATGAGCATGTTATCAATCTCCTTTTTTAAGAAAAAAAAATCTCCAGTACTCCTCTATATTTTAAATTTTTCCTCTATTGATCAGAAGGTTTTTGAAACAATCTCAACTTTAAAATATCTCTTTATCATTCATCAAAAATTGCCCCATTAGTCTAGTATATGATTTTATTGAAGACTACATGGCAGAGAGAATAGTCAAGAGTTTCTTTTGGAAGAGATACATTGAGTTCATTTACTTGGGGGGAAAAAAGGATTTTATGCTAAGGTGTCTCTTGGATATTTTAAGTGCTCTACTATATCATAGAGAATTATTCTCAAACCAAATATTATCTAAGATACTAATGTACTCAGGATAGGACACATTAACGTATTAAAAGTTACAAAGCCTAAGAAAAACAAGCACAAGTCGATAAAATCACAACTCAGAATTCAAATATTTCCACATGGTATCTTCACTATGAAATGCAAAAAGACTACTGTTTAAGTGAAATGATCTCTAACATGTAAATTTCACTCCTGTGACCAAATGATCATAAACTGTGGAAGACCATAAGTACAGAAAGCTACTCCCCAGGACTGCTTTTTCAAAGCTTAAAAAATTAATTGACCATCATTTGGGTGGAGGGATGAGTATGGATTAGGAGGCCTCTACATGTTTAAAAAAGATTCTAATTAAAATATTTTAAGCAGACTATTTTAGATGTTTATTTGATACTGGAAATGTGGTCAACTATCATAAAGTATTTCTCTTCATTACAAAAATTCCATATATTAAGGATTTGAACAATTGGGAAAAAAAAAATCTAGAAACATTTTTTCTTTTTTTTGCCTGAGCACTAAATCTTCTAAAAAGGCTCTCCAAAATCTTGAGTAGAAGTATCATAATCTGCAATGAAATGCTTGAGTTCTTCAACACACCGCTCACCTATTTCATGCAAATTCTGCCGCAGTGCAAACTGTATAGACTTTTCTAATGAAGGGTCTTTCTCAATCAGCATTTTTACCACCATCCCAAATGTTTCACAGTCCTGTCGGTAAACCTAGAATGGCAAACCACATTCTGGTTAGCTGAGAGTGAAAATAATTAGACAAACACTTAGTTGATTGAGCTAGCAGAATTACAATGCTGAAATCTTTAAGGGAAAGGCAACAACACAGCAGAACTTCTCCGAGAGTTGTGTGGTTGCTGCTGCCAAGAGGCCACTTAAACCTCTGGCTTGGATATTTGCTGACAATGAGTACAAAAACAGATACAACACATTACTGACTGTACAAGCTTGGAATGGCATTTGTCAGTACTAGATAGGGCAGTCTACTTAAAAGGACCATCAAGCTAGAGATGAGAAGAGAAAAGAACAAAGGCTAGGCAAGGCACATCAGTGGCTTTGTTCATTTATTTGTTTGGAAGAAAACAATTTCTGAGCCCCTAACTTCAGCTTCTTTGAATCATGACAAGATAACAAATTCAACAACATACAACAAACAATAAGAATGCTGAAGTATTGAGCTGAGGTGGTTGAGCTCTTGTCTCACATACATCAGGCACTGGGTTTGATCCTCAGCACCACATTAAAAAATAAATAAATAAAACAAAGATATTGTGTCCATCTACAACCCCCCCCCCCAAAAAAAAGGAAAGAAAAGAAAAGAAAAAAAAAAGAATTCTGAAGTATCTATTGGAAAAAAACTTTTCAAGTTAGACATAGGTAATCATAAGTTCTACAAGGCAGGCCTAAAATCAAAACAGTATGTTAAATACTCCCATGCATGAACATGTTTATACACATGTATGTGTTTATATATATAAACATACACATATCATACGCATTATGTATACGTACATTTCTATTCCAATGTATATATCTTACTTCAAAATTTATACATATATTTTATCAGTGACAATTAGATATTTTTCTGTCCAAAAATTGCTATTTCTTCTACACTAAATGACACTTCCTTAATTTATAGTAAAAAAAAAAAAAATACATTTTCGATTTCCATGCTATGATTTGTACAAAATAGTCCATGTCTTTAAGGAAAAATAGTTAAGCCTCCAAAAAAATTATGTGCACTATTAATTATTTGATTTAAAAGACATGTTACAAGGCTGAGGCAGGAGGATTCTGAATTTAAGGCCAGTCTGGGGAATTTAGTGAGAACCTGTCTCAAAATAAAATTTTTAAAAAGGGTTCAAAATGTATCTTAGTGTGAAGCACTTGCCAAGCAGTAAGAAGCCCTGGGTTTAATACCAGTACCACATAAATAAGTAAATATTCTGTTACATTATCTTTTATTTTTCTAATGTAACAATATGACATTGTTTGTTCTCCAAAAATGACTTTATTCATTCTGGAAAACTTCAGAAATCATATTTTTATGATTTTTTGATTTTATGTTTTTATTCCTAAAATGGTCACTGCTAGTTGTGGTGGCTACTACTGTTTTTAAATGTCTACAATATTTGCCTAAAAATAGCTATTTCAAGAAGACTGTTGAACATTTTCTTGGGGTATGGGGCGACTGAACCCAGGGGCACTATACAACTGAAATATATCCCCAGCCATTTTTATTTTGAAACAAGGTCTTGCTAAATTGCCCAAGTTGGCCTCAAACTTGTGATCCTCTTGCCTCAGCCTTCCTATTAGCTGGGATTACATGTGTCACCGTGCCCAGCAAGACTGTTTAATTTTTGCCTCTCACTTTCAGGTTGCTAAATTTTACTAAAATTATTTCCATGCTGTTAAACAATTCAAAAGTCCCAAAGAAATTTAAAGGACAAGTTCTTCAAATGACCCTCAAATTAAAATACATAAAAACTTTAGCTCCCTTCTCAGCAATATACACACACATTTTTCTCAAGAGCAATGAAATTTACTCATAACTATCAAATTGAATTCAGCAATATAAATCCACAATTTGTTTCAGCTTATTATAAGGTTACATGATCCAGAACTAATATTAACATTCTGATAAACCAACTTAGAAAACAGTATACCATTCAGATAATATCACACATGATGTCAAGGCAATAGAGTACATTATGACTAGTCTAACAAACACTACTGTACCTAAGTCAAGCCAATTCAGTCCCTGTGGAGGAAAGTCAGAATCATGATATTTCACAGTCTTTAGTGGAGGTAAATTCCTTACCAAACCAGTCAGCCCACATAATAACAGCATTTTAACACCAACCACAGGCCTCAGCAGACCACTTTGTGGGTGGCCTAAATTTTACAGACTTTTTTTTTTTTTATAACAGATGTACTAGATGAGGATAATGTTACCTGCAAATTCTTTAACATAAATCTGCTTTTTATCTAAACTGCAACTCTTCATTTATAGCATATTTACAGAACATAAATATGCTACATATTTGCATAAAAAAACCAAAAAATTTTAGACATTTATTTAAACTGTTAACTACTATCACTCAAGTGACAAAATACTAATAAACACTTAAGGTTTTTGTTATTTGTGTCTATTTACTATAGGTTTTTTAAGTTTTTCACTGGAAATAGAAAAAAAATTATACACTGGTTAATAAGAACAACCAGAACTATTGTAAATAATATAATTTTCTACTAGAGGAAAACTTTTCTGAAAAGCCTGCTTAAAATGTCCTTGTTGGGCATTAGACAGGAAATAATTAGTTTTTGTTAAAGGAAGACCTCACCCTCCAACATTTTATAAATACAACTTGAATCTGTCAGAAACCTATTTCCGAAATCTGTTCCACAATAAACTCAATCCCAAAACAGGAAGGGTGTAGTTATCTGTAGGAGAATATGTTTGCTTATGGTCCCTAGCTGGAAATTCATTAATAATCTTCAGATTTGGTATCTACAGGCCACACAGGAAGATTTTTTTGTTGTTGTTGCTGTTTTTGTTGTGCTTGGACTTCATCAAAATGGGAAACAGGTTCAACTATGGGAAAGAAACGTACTTAAATTTGCCAGCATAATGGAAACACTAACCAAATGTGATTTCACAAACTCCTTCGTTGTAGTAGTTAGTATTAAGTTAAATTCTTATAAAATACTTTTAGGAACAAAGGAATATGCTAGGATAAACTATCAAGGCTTTTTAGTATTAGTTATGTGTTTGGGTGACTAGAAGAATATCTGATGAAACAAACTCAATGGCAAATTGCTCCATTTAAAATTCCTTGTAATGACATAAAACTTCTGAAATATATCACTTCTATTCCTTACCTCTGTTCCCACAAAATAAGAAACCAAAATAAAGGCAAGATGAGTTGCAAGGAGAATTTTCAGATAAACTATCTTTAATATACATTACAATTCTGGAAGAATAGTTTGAAGGAATAGTGGAGGTTAGAGCTGTACCAATGCAGCCAGCAGCCAATAGCAGCAGAGGCCAAATTATCAAATGAGAATATTTCTTCTATTGTTGGTGACTCATCATTTCAAAGTCATTTCAAAATACTTAAAAGCCTAAAACATATTACTTTGAAAGAAACCATGTTTCCACTTTCAAATATATTGTCAATGTAACCCATATTTATATATATAAATTATATACAAAATCTCCCCCCACACACACACTGAAAATTGATCTCAAGGGTCTCGCACATGGTGGGCAAGTGCTCTACCACCAAGCTACATCCCCAGTCCTTTTTGTTTTGTGACAGGGTCTATGCTAAATTGCCCAGACAGGCCTCAAATTTATGATACTTCTACTTGAGCCTTCCCCAGTAGCTTGGAATACAAGCATGCTACACCCTGCCCAGCTTATACACAGAAAATTGCTGGTAGTTTGCTTAGCAAAATGTTTTTTTCTTCAGATTGTATAAAGTGATTGCCAATCCAAATCAAAGAACATAGTTCAGGTTAAATGTCCAATTCTTGTCTCATTCTAAAATAGAATAATTAACAGCATACTATTATTTTTAACAATCAGATCTTCTAATCAGAGTCCAGATAAGATTTGGTCTAAAACTTTTTTTCCTATGAGATAAGATAAGCATACTATAAGAAGAAAGTAAAATTCAACTTAAAATACCCTGCTTCACTGTCCATTCATATGGTTTTCACCACCAGAACTAGATATCTATACAAAAAAAAAACATTTTTTTAAAAGACTACACAAAGGGGCTGGGGATGTGGCTCAAGCGGTAGTGCGCTTGCCTGGCATGCGTGCGGCCCAGGTTCGATCCTCAGCACCACATACAAAAACAAAGATGTTGTGTCCACCGAAAACTAAAAAATAAATATTAAAAAGTTCTCTCTCTCTTAAAAAAAAAAAAGACTACACAAAGAGCCAAGTTTTAAAATATCTAATAATATCTGTTTTATCTTTGCAAAAAAAAAATCAAAACATACACACAAAACCAAAACCAAAAACTAGTAGAGAGACATCATTAAGAAGTTGAGAGGACTGCATATTACTAAGATGAAGCAATAATTAAAATGTAAACATTACATGTAAAACAAAAGGAAAATTTGGCAGTTCTGCCTGTGTCTCCATTGTATAGGTGTGACAGGAAAGCTCTAAAATTTTTCCTCAAACATTGAATCATTCCCAGTGATTCAAGTCAGTATTTATCCCATATAGTTCAACTGGGAAGCAGTTGTGTTCTGTATTCTATTTTTTCCTAAATGGCAATTATTTCAGTTTTAGAGACAAATTGGAGCAACCAGAATACAACTTTAAAAGTCAAATTTTGATTATAACGTCCTATATTTCTGTTTAAAGCAGCAGTATCAGCAATCATTCTCCTCACATACTAAAAAAACTCTGAAGCATCTAAATGGAAATCATGTTAAACTATGTGTTTTCCACTTTCAAGTCATTGCATATAGACATAATTACACAGTTAAATCTTCAAATTCAATTAATTTGTAGAAAAAGAACCAATTGTTTTGACAATGGAAAATGAGACATTCACATCTACAAGTATGCCACAAAATAAAGAAAAAACTGCAAAAAATTACCATACCTATAATTTTTAATTTTCATTCTAGTCAGGCCAAAAATGATCCACAAGCAATTTTTCATTCACACTAAATAACATAAATAA